CCACCGCCCGGCTTAATAAAGCACTATTAACACACAAAGTAAACACTTAGACCAACTATACCTAACCAATGCTTAACAAGTATTAATAAATATATTACCTATTAAAGAGAATACTTTAACAATAATACCTCTGAGAATACAATTCAAATAGACAGCTTTGTCAGCATTCTGCATTCCCTGGCACGGCTACATTCGACAGGCACTCAGCATTCTAGTTTAAGAAACTGCTTTTAAGAACCTACCATGTACACCCCAAGACTAAGTTCTCAGCACAGAAGAGATTTATTTGCCCCAGAGGGAAAAGGGGTAGGGAATAAAAGACAAAGACAGAAAATAGAGGATGAGTAAAGTGGGGGGAGTAATAAGGGAGGAGGGGAGGAATATTTGTTCCAGAAGGACAAAAGACTGCCTCTGGATAGAGAGGAGACAGAAGAGGCCCATAGGCAAATGATGGTTTATAAAGGTAAAAGCAGAAATCCTATGTAAGGATGAGGAGAAAAAAAATTTTAAAAAAAGAACCTACCATGTTGACAAGAGGCTTCCTGATACTTTACCAGACACTTGTAGTATCTTTTTTGATATACCTCCCTTCTAATTTAATCTCTCTTTGGTGATCTTACTCAGTCTCATAGCTTCAATTATTTACAGATGACACACAAACTTATGTATCAAATTGAGAACACTGAATTCTATACCTTCATATCTAACAGATAAAGCCAATCTGGTATCTTCACCTGGACACTTTACGAATGACATGTCCAAAGCTGAACTGATCCCACTTTAAAAACACCTACCTCTGTCAATGGAAATTTCATCTGTTTTAGTTACTTTCTTTACTGCTGTGAACAAATACAGAAAAACAACCTAAGGAAGGAAGGCTTCATTGTGCACCCAGGATGGGAGGCAGCTAGTGAGATTGCTTCCGGTCAGGAAGCAGAGCAAGAGGAGTACTGATGCTCATCTCAGTGAGGACCCCAGCCCATATAATAGTGTTCCCACAGTCAGGATGGGTCTTCTTGCTTCAATTAGCCTGATCTAGAAAATCCTTCAGACATGTCTCCTCAGCAACTCTAGAGTCTGTCAAGTTGACAGTATTGGTCATCAAGAGTCCACCTCCTGTCAATTTGATGTACAAATATATCACTTTTAAGCCATGATCTTTATCCCTTGTCTCCATAGACTTATGGCCATCTCATAATGCAAAATGCATTCAGTCCAACTTCAAAAGTCTCCATAATCTTAGTGAAGGGTCCAGAAATATAGAAATATAAAATTATAAGCTTAAGAGATAAAAACTGACAGCCATCAGCTTGGCTAACAACAACAAAACAAGGATTAACCTTTAACTGGGCCCCTCCGGGTTTTACAATGGGCAGCTCTGTCAACAATCTAAAAGCTAGTTTTCTTTTACTAAAGATTGCCCTTTGCAGCCCTGGGATTAGATATTCTTCGACAACCCCCTATCACTCACTATGGAAACCAAAGTTAACTTTTAATGAGTTTTTCATGACAACCTGCCTTGCATTGTTTTGTATTCCTCCTCATGGGAACCCAGCTATGTCAGGGGAAGTTGCAGGTTTGGACAAACATCAATGAACTGAGTCAAGAAGGGCTGCAGCAATATACAAATATTGTTTAGCTAAGACTCCCTAAAACCTTGTTAATGGAAAATTGTAAAAACCTAAAACAATTTGTCTCTAAAAGTTTAACCTCAAAATTGTAAAAATTCCTTTATCTATGTCTCATGCTTACCTCTGACTATAAAAAGAGGCTCCAGATGCCACAGTCTCAGAATTCCAACACTGGCTGTGGTCTCAGCTAGCTGATAAGCTTTTGTGTCCCATGGTGTTTTATTTTTTAATTTTTAATTTTTCTGGAATAAAGTTTGCTTCTGGTTTAATAGACTTTGGCAGTCTGTCCCCCATTATTGCAAGACCCTGGACCCAACATTAGCAGTTCTAACACTTTGGAATTTAAGTACATTGCCTCTTCTGAAACCCAAGCAATATCTTAACCATGAATCTCTATAATATGAAAAGAAAACTTAGAGTTACATACTTCAAACATATAATGGCACAGACTAAAGATTCTCATTACCAAGGGAGGAATGGTAGCACAGCAAGGAAAAACTGGACCAGAGATCAAAACCCAGCAGGGCAAACACCAAATCCTGCATCTCCATGTCAAGTACCTAGTGTTCGTGATGAAATCATCTGGGTTTCTAAGGGCTCAGATAGCTTTGCCCCTATATTTCTACCTGCTGCAGCACACATAGCCTCAACTTGGGCTGCCTCTATTCCCTGCTTTTCCTTGATGGATATCCCATTGTCCAGGTATCTAACATCCTGGGACTTCCATCATTGTAACTTGGGCCTTCACAGTGGTCTCTCAGGCCTCCTTGTGAAGAATCTAATCCCGCTACATGCTGTTTTTACCTCAGTGACTTTCTAATACCTTGACACAACACTTCATTAGGCCTTCACTCTTGTATCATTCTTTGCTGGATCATTAGTACCTTGACAACACTGCCAAATTCTGTTGCCAGCATGAGAAGTAGTTTAGCCTAACTACACTGGCCTCTGGGTGCCTCCAAGGACAACAGAGAAACACTTGCCTAGGTGTTCTCACTAACTCCAGTGGGGAATAATAGCTCAGTGGCATTCTGAGTTCAGAACCTCTCTTTTCAACTGAATTTGACTTTCATTAAGGCAGAGTATTGGATAGGTGGGATCCTGCCCTCAGGGTACCTTTCCAGTTGTTCCAATGCAGACAAAGAGGTTCCTCTATAATGGGGTTACATTGATTAATCCCATTTAATTATACATGCTTTACTCAACATATAACTTGCCTAAAACTTTTAAATTGCTTATGGCTTTTTATTTCACCAAATTACACAATTCTAAATATTGTTCTGCCCATTTGTTGCTCTTTTTCACTGCAGACCTAGATAACAGCAGTGAACTATTCTATCCTGAAACTTCCTCAGCCAAATAAATTAATTAATTACCCTTTAATTCCATTACCTTCTCAGGATATGAGGAAAATGTTGCCAGATTCTTGGCCAGAATATAACACAAATAGCCTTTAGCCCAGTGTGATGGTTAATCTCAACTGTCAACATGATAAAATCTAGAATCACTTAGGAATCAAGACTCTAGGCCTGTCTATGGGAGAGTACACAGATCAGGTTAAATGTGCGGAAGATAAGCTCAGTGTGGGTAGACACTGTTCCCTAGGCTGGGATCCTGAACAGTATTTAAAAAGAAAGAAAACAGAGTGCAAACATTTGTTACTCTGCTTCCTAGCTGTAGATGCAATGAGACAAATTGCCCAGAGAGCTGCCACTGTGACTTCCTCTGTAGTGGTAGACAATAACCTCAAACTGTGAGCAAAGTAAACCTCCTTTCCCTTAAGTGGTGTTGTTACTACATTTTACTGCTGCAACAGGAAAAAAAACAACACACCAAGTGACCATTATAGTGCTTGTTCCCCTCTGAAATTTCATGAACTGAACCTCCACTGTTCTCAGCATTCTTGTTTAAATTCCCACCAGAATGGCTAGCTCATTATACTCTGCTTAGAACATTCTAGCTTTTCTAGCCTGAAGTTTCAAACTCTTTCACAACTTTCTCACAAATTCCAAAGGCTTACAAGCCACTTGGTCAGGTTTATCAAAGCAACAATCTGACTTCTAGGCACCAATTTTCAGTATTAATTTCTTTTCTTAATGCTTTGCCCAAATAGTTGAGAAGAAACTAAGGAATGTAATCAGTGCACTGTGAGGCAAGGGTATCTACAGAGGAAGATGGTAAGAAGTTGAAGTAAAAAATCTGAATTTGCAACCATCTTTGAAAAAGTAAGGTTCTTAGAGTAGGATGGTATTCTGTGTAGTATTACAAACATGGGTAATACATCAGCAACAATATGTAGAAATCTAAGAATAGGAAATGATGACAATTAAAAATAATTAGGAATCAGGTGAATGAATAATTCTAGCAAAAGCATTATCAGCTGTCAACTGCCCATAGGGATCAGAGTAAGACAAAGACAAAAGGAGACTGTAAACTGGGGACTCTTCATAACAGAGGTACTTTATTGAGGTAGGCACAAAGCAGATTTAATAAGAGAGATAAAGGGAAAAAAATGGAGATTTCCAAGTTCCAAATCCTGGCAGTGATAAATGAAATTTCTTCTCAAACTATTTCAAGCAAAATTACTAAGTACCTAACATTCATATATACTGGGATACAAATAGATTAAAATGAGTTTACATTTACAATAAAATGAAGTAGGCAGTTTAAAAACATAAGTTTTATGGGACATGAGGAACGCATAGGGAAGGAATCAGGAAATACTAAAGTTGTTTCTATTGGCTAGTAAGGGAAGACTTCACTGAAAAGTTGATACATATATAGACAAAAAAAACAAGATGTGGTTCAGGAGTATGTCAAACAGAAAACAAGTATAAAACCAAGTTGGGAGTATGCCCCTGCCCTGTGTGTGTCTACTCCCATGACACTCAGAAATGAAGTAAACAAGTTCCTCTGACCACTGACCAAAATCAATATTGTAAATAAGCTTTAATTTTTTACAAGTCAGAAATTACTTACCTTGTGAATTATACTTTTGTTTCATTCATCAACTATTTTTTATTTTTTATTTTTTTTATTTTTTTATTTTTTTTTTGGTTTTTCGAGACAGGGTTTCTCTGTGTAGCTTTGCGCCTTTCCTGGTACTCGCTTTGGAGACCAGGCTGGCCTCGAACTCACAGAGATCCGCCTGCCTCTGCCTCCTGAGTGCTGGGATTAAAGGCGTGCGCCACCACCACCCGGCAACTATTTTTTAAAAAGAAAAATTTAAAGCATAAGCCACAGAAGAAAAGTAATTTTCGATATATTTCATACTTAATGGCTAAAATGTCTAAAAACTGTAATTCAGCTAACAAGAGGCTAAGAAAGCAGAAAAACCCAAAAATTAAACATAGCATTCTGTTTCCATACTTTCCAATGGTAGCTTTGCCTTCATTTTTAACAGACTGATAAATCTTTCTCTCTTCTTCTGAAAGTGTAATGTGCTGAATAAATACTTTTCTTTCTGGTAACTCCAAAACAGGTTTCCCTTTAATTTTGCTTGTCTTTGTTCTTCGAAGTGTGATGTTTTTAATTAAGGACTGTAAACGCCTACTCAAAGTAAAACAAGCAATTAGATAACTCTTTATTTCTAAATCAGGTGAGCAGAAAGGAAAAAAAAAGCAGGAATTTATTGATTTATAACTTTAGTAAATTAAATGGTTTTTAAAAAATCCTTTATTTAGGCTTGTATAGTCACAAGAATATTATATAAATAAAAATTATTACAAAAAAATAATGAAATTGTGCCTCAGCACAATACTAATCATCTTTTACTATGTACTTACTTTTCCAAAATTCCTCAAGTACATATATCAATTATAGCACTCAATACACAATATTTGCATTCTTACTAAGCAGCTATTAAGTTTAAGGTGTTTTATTAAATAGAGTGCAGACAGGAGTAAGATCCTATCTTCTGTACTCAAAGTCATCCTCTTCTTGATTTAAAAAAAAAATCCCATCTAAAATAATATGAAAAGGTATGAAAATCAAATCAACTTTTTATAAATTAATTAACTGAAAATAAAAACAAAATAATATAATAATAATAAAAAGCACAATTTTTAACTTAAACTAAGTACAACATAAACAGGAATCGTGTGACCAGTTTTGACAGCTAACATAACAGTTTAAATTTTCAATCATTTTCACTTTAACTCTCAGTCAGAAATACATTTGACTGTATCTACCCATAACAAATAAATATTCAATACATATACATTATATATTTTCACTTGGAGAATGTACTCTGGTATTTTTCATATTCTCTATTACATTTGTTTCTTTTTCCATGCTGACTGCCACCTTTATAATGATTCTATGACCCACCATTGAGTCCCAAATCCTGTTTAGACAATTACTACTTAGAACCACACCAGTCAAGTATGTGGCAAAATACCCATCAATGTTTTCATTCCTTTCTTATCTTTTTAGCAATACCCACCCAAATCAACCATATGAAATGTTCATTAAAACTTGAGATCACTGTACACTGTGCACTATATACCACACCAAATGCCTCTATAAAAGAACTGTAAGTTATCAAAATATAACGCATGTAGATGTAATTCTAAATGGTCTTATTAAATAAGAAACACAGAGCCAAATAAAGAGTTAAAAGTCCAGAGATCAGAGCAATAGCCAAGAGCTAAGACCACCTTATCTTACCACTCGCTGCCGTCCTTCCCCTGAAAGAGAGACCTTCTTCCTGTGTCCTGTCTTTTTATTGTCTTTCTGTTCTGCCTTCTCATTGGTTCTAAGCCCAACCACATGACTTCCTCTTCACTGCCTGTCTATACAGACCTCCAGATCTCTATGGTTCCTACTGAGATTAAAGGTTCGGGTCATGCTTGGTTGTGTCCTTGAACACACATAGACTCTGCCTGCCATGTGATTGGATTAAGGGCGTGTGCCACCACCGCCAGACTTCTGCTAAATGGCTTGCTCTTAGCTCTGATCCCCAGGCAACTTTATTTATTAACATACAAATAAAATCACATTTTAGCACAAATAAAATATCACCATAAATGTATAGTGAATCATCAAAGGATATAGGTTTTCCTATCATTGTTGAACCTGTTTGTGATAGCTTTGGGGTAACAGCCACACACAATGACCTAAAGCTCTGCCTTTCCTTTCAGTTTTGCTAAAATAGGGAAAAAGTGCACAAACAGAAACCTTTATCCCCAGACACAAGTTACTACATTTTAAGAGTCAGTGGCACTGACAATCATGTGCTTTGGAGACTAAAGTTAAGAGATAAGCAAAAATGGTAATGGAAGTGGCAATTAGTTGCACTAACTGTCACTAATATATCAGCTATCATAAACTTACTTACCTAAGTCCTCCCTCATTTCCCATTGTAACAGGACGCTGTATTGTTCTATGCCACCATTCTCTATCAATAAATGGTTTAAGTTTAAAAAGGACAGAAGAGACCACAAGTCCTTTAAAGAATTCTGGATAGGAGTACCTAAAAAAAAAAAAAAAAAGACAAGGACACCGTTATAACTCTACAAAGTTAAACTGATTTTGTGGAACTAGGGATCACACATGCTAGGCAAGAATTCCACTGAGTTATAGTTCATTAGCCAGAATATTCACCTGGCCCAATGAGACAAACAATAGTTGAATTAGATAATGTACTAGGTACACACTGACTCAGATCCTCATACACTTATACATGGCAAATGTTTAAACACTGAGCCATCTCCTCAGTCTTGCTATTAGTGTGTGTAGGTTCCCGCAAGCACCACAGGCCAGCAGAAAAACAACCAGGGTGAGGTAAGAATAAAACTTGGGTAAGACTTAGCCAGTGCTGGGTCAAAACTTCTGGAGTCTTGACACCAGATGATTATAGACAGATTTAAATACACTATAATTTTGGAAAAGTTTCCTGGTAACAACCATCCCAACCCCATGTGCACAATAAAGCTTCAAGTATGACTACATTGAAACTCTTCTGCAAAGCACATGTGATCATGAAGATGAACTCTATAGCTTTAAGGGCATAGGATCTAGTGTGGACTCTGACAGAGATGGAGGTCAGCAGGCTATAAGTCACATGTCATATCTCTCCTAAGGATAGTTCTTATTGGCTGACAAACAAAGATAAAGATAAAGGTCTAGGGAGGGAGAGTCTGGGATAAACATTCTGGGGGCTTTGAGTGAGGTCTGGCTCTACAGATAGCAAAGGTCACCAGGTTATTAACAGCATCTACTCCCAACCTTCTGGGTGGAAAACAGGTATTAATTTTCTCCATTGAGGAGACAACTCTGCTGATTAACAGTCCTGGTTTCTCCAGTGCTTATCTTTGAGCACTCATGACCCTACATCTCCTCATTTCTAAGTTTTTAAAGAAAAGATAGTGGACAAAATGGAAGTCACAGTATGCCTCTATGTCTAGGCAAGCATAAGAGAATTACAAGAGGACCAAGAAAAGGGGAAAGCCATCTTATCCATGATTGAAAAATCACTTGATAGATTCTGTCTGTCTCTTTATATAAATTAATTTGGCCTGTGGTGATATATTGTGTACCCTAATAAATTTGCCTGAGGATCAGAGGACAGTACCAGCCACAAGATTAGACATAGAGGTCAGGCAGTGGTGGCACACACCTTTAATCCCAGCATTTGAGATCTCATGCCTTTGCTTGGAAAGCATATGTCTTTAATTCGAGGAAGTAATATGGCAGGGCAGAGAAAAGGTATAAAATGGTATGAGGAAACAAGAACTCACTTGTTTTAGGCTGAGGATTTCATAGAGGTAAGAACTAGTAGCCACTAGTTCTGCTTCTCTGATCTTTCACCTTTCACCCTGATATCTGGCTCTGAGTTTTTTATTAAAAGACCATCTAAGATTCAAACAACATTGACCATCAATAGTATCAGAAAAATCTGACATATTTAAGCAACATGTATCAAGAAATTGTTGACAACTAAGGTTATGCTTGAGCAGCAGCAAATAATCTCTAGTACCTCTATTTTGTAAAATTATGGTCATCATTGTTACATACAAATGGTAGTGAACTTTGGATGTTGATTTTGTATCCAGCAATTTTGGATTTGAATTCATTCAAATGCTCAGAAACCATATAAGTGCAGAAACAGTAGCATGCATCTATAACCTCAGGGATCCTACAACAAGGTGAGAGAATTCATGGAAGCTCACAGACCAGCTAACCTGGCATCTGTAGTAGACCCTATCTCAAGCAAAAGGTGAAGACTAACAACCAAGGTTGTCACCAAATCTACACGTTCTCTAATCTACACACACACACACACACACACACACACACACACACACACACACACACCTAATTTTTTAAAAAAATCTGAAATTGACCTCTTAAAGATTGAAAGAAAATAGTGGTTACCAGAGGCCGAGAAGAATAGTGGAGCAGAAAGAAGGAGAAAGATTGTTCAATGGTTATTAAGGTATAGCATGGCTGCAAAAATATTAAGTTCTGCTGTTATACTGCACAGTAGTAGGATAATGATAGAAAAATAATGCACTATACATATTCTAAAAGCTAGAAGAAATAATTTTGAATGATGTTACTATAAAAATAAATGAGGACATAAATATAATTACCCTAATTTGAATATGATACAATGAGCTATTATACCACATTAAGGTCCATGAACATAAATAATATTTAGGCATCAATTCAAAAACCTAATAAAAATAAGGGCTGCAAGATAGCTCAGCAGATAAAGTGTTTGCCACACGACTATGATAGGATAGTAGTTGGATCCACAGAATCCACTTCAATTCTAGGTGTGTACTGCAGCCTGCCTATAATTCCAGTGCTTGGAATGAAGATAGGATTCCTAAAGCTAGCTGGATACTGTGAGCTCTGGGTTCAACTAAGAGACCATGCCTCAATGAATAGGTGGGGAATGATCCAAAGATGCCTGACACTTACAAGCTTCCACAGGAATGCACACATATTTGGATGCTCACCAGCACACAAATACATGCCCACATATATGTGAACACAAGACACACAAAATTTAAATAAAATTTTAAAAAATCCTGAAAGCTGAAATTACCTCTCAATACCCATCTTCTTTCTGCCTCTAAGTCAAGTACAGCTTTTGTCTGCTGAGCATTTGGATTTCATATGGCATGTCCTTCATCCAGGATCACTCTTAGCCATTTTATGCTATGTAATGTACTGTCATCTTTATTCTGAAATAGAGGTTTAATATGAAATCAAAAAGCACAGTAAAATAACATAGTACTTAAATATTTGTTAAATAATAGTAGTTCTGATCCCTCTACCAACTCTTACTAGGTACCTGGCACTGTTAAGTACTCCAAAGACAATTAGTGAACACCCAAAAGCCTAGAATATTACCTCTGTTTTATAGCTAAGAATACCAAGGAACAAGATATTAAATATGTTGTTCGAAGTACCACTAAGAAGCAGCTAGCTCCTACTCTAAGCTAAGAGTCATGCATAATACACAGAACCATTTTACACACAATGAAACAGTGACAGAAAATCTATCCCTTGTAAGAAAATTTTCAGTATAACAACATTGCTTTCTTTTATACAAATGGCAATGTTCTTTCAACACTGAGATTTTAACTATTTGGTATTTCCAAAATAACTGGAATTATTAAGGAAAATAACAGGCTCATGGAAAGAGTTGAGAACTTAATGACTACTATAAACAAAGTTTATTTTCAAACTGTAACACTCATCATTAAAAAAACAATTTTTCAGAACACCAAAAAGAAATTTATATATAAATTATGATAAACACTAGATATAATCCAAATTTAAAATTTTAACCTTAAATGTTCTAAATGACAAACATTTCCAAATTAGTATCTCAAGAGGGTACAAAGCCCTTCTTTGCAACATGTTATCTTACAGACATTCTTAAGCATTTTCAAAGAAAGAAAGGGAAGAGCATATACTATGAATTTTTGAATAATTTAGAAACATGAAGAAGAGCAATCAACCTTAAAAAAAATCTCTAGGTAGGGCTGAAAAGATGGTTTAGTGGTTAGGAGTATTTGCTGCTCTTGCAGAAGACCCAAATTCTGTTCCCAGCATCCATTATCAAATGACTAAGAAATACCTTTAACTCCAGCTACAGAGGCCTCCAAAGTCACCAGCACTCACTATCACACAGACACACACACAGTTTTTAAAAAAATAAATATTTTTAAAGGCTTTAGGTATTTGCATACTTACTCCATAATCATGAGTTAAAATATTCTAAGTAGTCAAAACAATATCCTGTCTTGAAAGGAAGGCTGGATCTCTAATACGATCAGGACCATAATAAACATAAAAATTCAAGTGCACTTCTGACTTTATATGCTGTCCTAATTGTTCCTAAAAAAATTACAAATATTTTAATAAGAATCAGATGAGTATCAAGTTGAGAATGCATATCATGGGCATGCCAGCAAGAGTGTCAAAAATCAGTTTTCCTACAATCTAAAACTGAAGTATAATGATAGCTATACTAATAAGTATCATATTGTGTCAAATTGTAAAACTCACAAACATATAAAACATGTTATATAAATTTTGCCTGTCCTACCAATGAGCAGCCATTTCACATATATAGTCCATTTGTGTAGCCATTTCATTACTATGCAGCCCAGGCTAGTCTCAAACTCATCATCTTCCTGCCTCTACCTCTCAAACACTGAGATTAGACAGTAGCATGTCTTCAATTTTAAGTAAAAAAGTCCACCAAGTTTCTTTGTAAACAACAGACTTAGATGATTTTGAGCAAGAAAAGAAAAAAAGAAGGAGGAAAGGAAAGGAAAGAAGGAAAGGACAAGACGAGAGAGAAGGTGCCATGGAGACTACTGGAGTCCATTTAGTCTTTACCCAGCAGGTCTGCATAGGGAGGATGATTGGACCATGGAAATGGGTGCCAGGTGTCTGAGATGGTCTGCACTTGGCTGTGCTTGGGGGATGTCTTTCACTCCATGCCTTGGCATTTCTTTAAATACCCTAGGGCAAGGAGGGACACATGGATGACCCCATGAAGGAGAAGTGGATGAGATCTACATGAGTGGACTGGGTGTGGGGGGTGGCAGAGGGCAAGGAGCAGGGGATGAGAACATAGGGAAATGGGAGGGTCAAGCTGGAACAGGGACAGAGTGGGAGGTCAGGGAGGAAGATATCATGATAGATGAGGACATCATGGGAATAGGAAGAGGCAGGGTGCTGGGGAGGCTCTCAGGAATCCACAAGGTTGACCCTTGGTCTGCTGGCAGTGGTCCAGAGGGTGCCTGGACCAGTCTACTCTGGTGACCAGCCTAGCAAATAACCTAGTTGTCATCATAGAGCCTTTGTCCAGTGACAGATGGAGGCAGACACAGAGATCCATGGCCAGGCACCAGGCTGAGTTCCGGGAATCTAATTGATGAGAGGAGAGATACTGTAGGCGAGGGACGTCAAGATCATGATGGGAGGATGTGCAGAGATGATCGGCCACACTAGTGGAAACCCATGAACTGTGGACTGGTGGCTGTGGAGCCCCCATGGGACTGGACTAGGCCCTCTGGACACAGAAGATGGTTGTTTGGCTCGAACTGTTTGGGGGGCACCCAGGCAGAGGGATCGGGATCTGTCCCTGGTGCATGGGCAGGCTTCTGGGAATCTGGTGCCTGTGGTGTGACACCTTGCACAGCCTTGGTGCAGTTGGAAGGGGCTTAGACCTGCCTAGGCTCAGTGAGCTAGGCTCTGCTGACTCTCCATGGGAGACCTCGATTTGGGGGATGTAGGGATGTGGGGTGGCTTGGGAAAGAGGGCTGGGGGGTTGGAGGAGAGAGGAGGGGGGTCTGTGGATAGCATGAGGAGTGAGTAGAAAATTTCTTAATAAAGAAAAATAAAAAAAAAAGAAGGAAATCAGATGGAAAGGGGTTGTGTTGGGGAGTCTGGGGACAGGGGGAGGGGGCAATTGGAGTCAGAATGATCAAGAGAGATACCTTGTACACATTATGAAACTGTCAAAGAATAAATAAAAAAATACTTTTTCAAAAGAAAAAAAAATACCCTAGGGCAGACAGTCGAGGGCTGGTGGATAAGGATCCAGGCCCACCTGAGGCTATCCTGCATCTCTCTCTGTTTCTCTCCCCTCTTTATTTCTAACTAAGTCTCTTATCCCTCATTCCTCAAAAGTCCCTGAGGTAAATAAATGTGAGGGCTGGTCCCCCACAGATGGTGTCACTGAACAGAGACTAAAGAAAAAAAAATATATATATATATCTCCAGAGTACTTAGTGAAAGTAGGAGGCCCTACAAGTTCAAGAGGAGGGTCCAATATGGTTTTGTAGTTAAAAAAAAAAAAAAGAGTTAAATGGGGCAGGGGGTTTTATCCTAAAGAGAAAAAGAAAAAAATGGACTGGAAAGATGTCTTAGTATAAGGCTGCAGCTTAAATTCTCTATCAAGATTTCTCTCTTTCTGTCCCTCTCTTAATTTCTATCTATAAAAATTAAGGAAGCAGGAATAGATACATAGTGTAGGAAAAACTTAAAAGAGTAAGATAGTGTAGAAAAACTTTAGAAAAATAGCAAAAAGAAAACAAGATAAGATAGGCAACTAGACAGAAACAATGTCTTTAATTTTCTAACTTTAGGGCTATGAATGCAAACTGAGATAAAATCTATCCTCTTGGAGCTTAATGGGCAGAAAAAAAGGCTCTTCAATGAGCTTAACAGGAAGAAAAAAGATACCTGTGGGAAGCTTTTGTTCCCAAGCAGCAGAAGAAAGTAATTCTCCCTGAAGCAAAATGTGGGTGTAATAAGCCAAAGTTTAGAAGTTTGGGGGATGAACTAGGTGGTCTTTCTCTCAAATTAAAAGCTTTCTTAAAAAACTTAATCTCTCTCTAAAACACTAAAAAGCCTCAGAACTTACTTTCTCAGTTTCTCTTTCTGTAAGGACAAAATTAGATTCACCTGAAAGAATGTGGGAAATCACCTGTGATTCTCTCTAAGAAAAAACCAACAAACCTCTTGAAACAGGGCAAAACCTCTCTGCTAAGTTCTGTCTCTCTAAACTAGGAAAAAATTAGCAGCCATAAGTTCCCTAAGGTTATAGCCTCACAAAAAAAGTGCAGGCAGAAAGCCAAAGCAGGGACAGCTTCCCCAAAAAGTGAAGAGACGGGGGAGGGGCTGTTGGTGAGAATGAAGCAATGGAGGCTTTCTCTTCTAAGCTCTGTCTCTTCAGGCCAGTAGAAATTCCCCCAGCAGGTAGAACTGAGCCATAGATGCAGGAAAGTGTAGGTGAAGAGCCACAGAGAGCCAAATGGGGCAGGAAACTCCTGGCATGGTAGAAGCAAAAACCGAGCTTCTCAGCTGCAGCTACAGCTAAGACATTAGGGACTTTGTTTCTGGGTGGGCGTCTATCACAATGAAAAGGTTGCTCATAATCGCCCTAGCACAAAGATCCCCTGAGGCAATGCAAACTCTCTGTTAGCATTGTTACCCTTCTAACCAACAACTGAGAAGCAATTAGCCAGCACCTCCAAGTTTGAGTGCGTTCTGGGGATACTAGGATTCCTACAGTGGTCAGGCAGTCTCAAGAAAAGCAGTGCTGAACTGGGAGCAGCTGAGACAGAATCAGGGAAAAAGCCCCTACCTTCAGAAGCAGAGAAAATTGCCACTGTGGCATCAGGAACTGTTTCTGCGGGAAGGGATGAGCTGAGACCACACTGGGAGTTGTCTGGGAGAAAGTATCTCTGAAGAGGCTGTAAAAAAGCTTTGTTTCAAGTACTTTTACTTTTATCACTGATCCGGTGACATGGAGGAGAAAGCCCCAAGGGAATTTTGCTTCCAGCATGGAGGGACCTCCCTGCATATGCGTGGGCAGGTGCACTCAACTTCGGGAGCAGTGTCAGCAAGGGAAAACACCTACTAAAGCCAGCTCAGGTAGAACAAAATCTTTTGACTCAAGAAACCTCCTGTAGTGAAGAAAAAAGCTGGTTTACTCTTGACTTTTCAATAGGAAAGCAAGCCAGTAAAAGGGAACTGAAAGTTGACTCCCAGACCTGAAAAGAACTATGGGAAACGTAGTCCAAAAGGTAGCTCATAACAGCAGGCTGATATAAGAGAAATGCATTCTGGGAAAAAAGTTTTTCCAATAAAGATGTCTACTGCCCGGTAAATATGTTTTTTCAAATCAAAATGAACTTTCTTTCCTAAGCATTGCTAGATATCTTAAATTTACTTCCCAAAAAGTTGCGAGCAAACAAACAGCTTGCCTCACAGGAGATAATTAAAAAAACAAAGAAACAAAAAGCTTATGAGATTGAGTTGTGTTTAAGATTCCAGAGAAACATTGATAGCATTAAAAGACACTCATAGTAAACTTAAAATACAGCTTTTAAAAGATTAAGAAGGGGGAAAATTGTCTGAGAGTTTGTTGAGTGTCCGCCCCAATGAAAAACTATAAGGATAGAACTTGGAGCTGCACAGCTTTTGGCTCATTTGAGAAAATGCCTTATATTGCCTGATAGCTGCACAAGAACTTTTCACTAAGAGTTTTACAGAAGTTCAATATGGGAATTTAATCCTCGCCCTGAGGTGAGGCTTCTGTGGCAACTGAGTGAAGTCAATGGCATTTATCTGAATTGAAGCCCTTAGGGGAGCTATTATGAATTTGGGCAAAGGGACAGTCCCTAGCAAAGTAGCCATCTACCGTAGGCTAAGTTCCTGCCAGTTCCAGAACATCTGAGAGGGCCTGGCAGGAAAGGAGTCTGGGGAAAAAAAAAAAAAAACCCTTTACCCCAAGGATTACAGCCTTAACAATGACACTATATTGTACAAAGAGCTAAGTCACTTAAAAATACATTATGCCCCTTAGAAGGATTTTCTTCCCATTATTTTTGAGTTTGAAATGAAGTCAAAAGAAAATTACTCTCTGGCTTTTGGAAGATAATGTTAAACCTCTTCTAGGTGTTAAGAAATCTTTTAGGTGTTTGCTAGGTTAGATATTTGCTAAGGGTAGCCCTATAGAGAGTTTGCTAAGAGATTCTTCCTAGTGTGAGTTAGTTAACAGTAAGAAGTATCTTTGTAAGGTAGTCCTATAGAGTTTCCTTAAGAATATGTTTGTAAGAAGTATAAATAAGTGTATGTTGAATGTGAGCTTGTAATAAAGTGTAAATGTTGAATGTGAGTCTAAATGCTTAATGTAAATACATGTAGTATAAATGGTCATGCTAGTTGTAAATGTAAGTTTAAATAAGTGTAAATACAGTAAGTCAGACAAATGTAGGTTTAGAATATATAGGATTTAGGTCTAAGGATATGGTAAAAGTTTATTAGAGGGATTATATGGTGAAGTTAAATAAAAAAGTAATTTAGAGTAGAGTAGG